CAGAGGGCAGCTACGCGTGCAATTCCGGAACTCCGGGGTTTATCATATAAAGAGCGGCTTGAAAAACTGAACCTCTTCACTCTGTCCTATCGCAGACTAAGGAGAGATCTAATATTGGTGTACAGAATACTAAGAAATGATTTCGGACCTGACTTATTCTCTCTCTTTCTTCCCACTAGATCGGGACACCTCAGAGGACATAGCAGGCGAGTAGAAAAGCCAAGAACGAACAAAATACCCGTGGCATACAGGTTTTCACACCGAGTCATCAATACTTGGAACCTGCTGCCTGAAGCAGTGGTATCCGCACCTTCAATTGACTCTTTCAAGAGAAGACTGGACACTCACAGAAGCATACTAGAAAAGGAATAACACAGGCCGTAGGCCTTCTGTCCTTACTACACAAATCTGAAATCTGAATCTGAAATCTGAAATCTATATCGATGCATGATCATGCATCAACACGATGGCGTAGTCTTCGTTACTTGAAGAATGGACGTTATCAGACATGATGTGGCTGAACTCAATTAAAATCTAAAAGTGTATTGATTTGACCGCTTCTGAAGATTTTCACGAATTGTCGATGTGATGCACCAATTATCTTGGGACAGTTTGACCTTCAAGTTGCCGCGCTATTAAAAAGGACAGTGGTATTTTTCCTCGCTGAGTAAATTTCATTGTTTTGATCGTTTATTACGTATCAAGACTACTGTTTTTCACTTTAATTGAATTTATTTCAGTTAAAGTATTCGACTAAAGTATCGTTTTTACTGTTTTGTCGTTGGTACTCTTTAGTACCACTTTTTCAACTGTATCTGTTAGTACTTTTGGTCCTAGCAATCTACAGCTCTTCACTTTTTTGGTCATTGATAATTTTTTTGTTTCTGGGTATCATCGCATATTGAAAAAACCCCTCCTAAATGACCGGACAGTGTAAAAAAAGCAGTTGCCAACGTCCGGGTTGTCGTTATCCTGTTGAAAGCGGCATGCAGTGCGACGAGTGCAAAGGCTGGTACCACGAAGTTTGCACGAACTTAACGCCTGCTGCTTTCAAACGGTTCAGTAAGAAGGGTTGTGTGTGGCTTTGTCAACAGTGCTGCTCGGATGCAAACAGCTTGTTAACCGAGGCTATCTCACTGGTTGATGCTGCCAAGAAGTGTTTCAACAAGCATAGTCGGAACGCGTCAAACAGCACTCGATCTGTTGACACGCAAATCAATGTGAAGGAAACTAAGGTGAGTCCGGTGATAGATGACTCACGCCCGTCGAAGAAGGAAAAGCAGTATCCAAAGGGGTCTGCCTTAAAAAAAAGCTCAAGAAAAGCAGGGTCTTCTGTTCCCCGTCTCCCAGATGGGATCCAACAGGAAACACCTAGGGGCCGCAATCGCAAGGCTCGATCGGTTTCGACTGGTAAACATAACACGACCCCTCAGGTCGTCGACAACCCCCCAAAACCCAACACTAGTTTTGACGCAACTGCTACTGCTTCTACCAGCAGCGTTAACGAATGGGTAAAGGTTGTAAGGAAGAAAAGTATTGACATAAAAGGGAAACCTGCCCCCGTAAAAGTGGTTGAAAAATCGAAAGCTGATCATAGCGACAGATCAGCTATTTTTCATAGAATTAAGGAGAGCGATAGCTCTGAACCTAAAGCTCGTTTTGAGCATGACATTGTACTGATTAGGCAGCTGCTTAATCAACTCATGCCTCAAAATATGACTGGGGTCACCTTGCTAAAGGTGTATAGACTAGGGAGTCTAACGGACTCGAAACCAAATCATTCCAGACTGCTTAAAGTAGTATTCGGCTCTTCAAACGAACGTGACCTAATTTTACAAAATGGACACAAATTAAAGGGTTCGGGAGTCTTTATCCGAAAGGACCTACCGTTGGCAGACCGTGTTAAAAGACGGGAAGCCGAGAAAGAACTACAACATAGGTTAGACGCTGGCGAAAAGGACCTGAAAATTGTAAATTTTCGGGTTGTAAGACTTCGACAGAGAATGATGCCGAAGCCACTCTGGGTGAAGCACGAAGGCACCTAAACAGGCTTCGGATCTGTTACACCAATGCACGAAGCTTACTTAATAAGCGATCGGAACTAGGTGTACAGATTGACTCTATAAAGCCAGATATAATCGCAGTAACAGAAACCTGGCTGACACAGGCTATAGATAGTATAGAACTTGATTTCGAGGGCTTTACGTTAGTAAGGGCCGACAGAACACAAAAGCGCAAAGGAGGGGGAGTAGCTCTATTCATTAGGAATGCTATCCCATTTACCATTATCGATAGTGTATCCCATGAGAGTGGGACATGCGAATTAGTTAGTCTTCGCTTAAAATGCAAGGGACAAGAGCTGCTGATTGGTTTGGTCTATCGCAGTCCAAGCTGTGAGGCAAATGAGGTCCTGTTAAGCAGTCTCAATACTTGGTCCCAAAGTGGTCGATGTCTAATCCTAGGGGACTTTAATGCACCAATGGTAGACTGGGGAAATCTGCGAACTAAATCGTCAGAAAATTCCTTTGAGCAGGAACTAGTTGATGCGGTTATCACATGTGCCCTAGTGCAACATGTGAAAGAAGCGACTAGGTACGACCCGGACACTGAATCATCCTTATTAGATCTTATACTGACTCACTATGAGGATGATGTTGCGAACCTCCACCATATGCCACCCTTAGGTAAAAGTGACCACGCAGTTTTAACTTTCGACTTCCATATAACTGCCAGTCATGAGGACGCGTCAGTCCAGTCCAGACCCAACGTCTGGAAAGCAAACATACCAGACATCATGCACTCAGCATCGTTAATAGATTGGACAATAGACCCAGAGTCCTCCATTGAAACGGCCTGGGACACATTTCGAAAATCATACTTAAAAGTTACCACACCTCACATCCCTTGGACTATACCAAAGGGGCCGAAAAACTCACCACCATGGTTCAGTAGGGAGGTCCGTATCCTTCTCCGTAAGAAAAGGAAAACGTGGGATAGATTTAGGTTACTGGGGACTGATGAGTCAAAATCTCAGTATCGAAAGGCTCGGAACACTTGTGCCTCGACCCTCCGTAAGTCTAGAAAATTGTACGAAGAAAAACTTGTTAAGGAATCCATAGAATGTCCTAAACGCTTGTATTCCTATATAAACCAAAGGACAAGGAGAAAAGGAAATATTCCTGCTCTATGGGGAGACAGTACTGCTTCATCATTAGTGGAGGACGACTTTGGTAAGGCTCAAGCGTTCTCGAACTACTTTAGCAACGTGTATACCATAGAAGCGCCCTTCTCGTCAGCGTATACAGATCCCCCCATACATACACTGGATAGCGTGACCATTAAAGAACTCGATGTCTTTGGTCTGCTAAATAAGCTTGACATAGGTAAATCCACGGGGCCCGATGAATTACATCCTAGGCTACTGAAGGAATTATCTAACTTCGTTGCGAACCCTTTAAGTACATGCTTTAACCTATCCGTTACGCAGGGTCGCTTATTGAAAGATTGGAAAAACGCCATAGTAAGTCCTGTCTTCAAAACAGGCACGAAACACAAACCTGAGAACTACCGCCCCGTTAGCCTAACTAGTGTGGTTGTTAAAATATTAGAAAAGATTATTCGGAAGGAGCTGTTTAAGTATCTCGATAAAAACCGGATCCTCTCGGAGAAGCAGCATGGCTTCAGAATAGGTTATTCTTGTCTCACTAACTTATTAGTGGCTCGTGAAAGCTGGTGTGCTCTTAAGGACCAAAAGCTACCTGTAGACGTCGCCTTCATTGATTTCAGTAAAGCTTTTGATAAAGTTCCGCACAACCGGCTGTTATATAAGTTAAGAAAAGTTGGGATTGGAGGTAATTTATTGATGTGGATAAAAGACTTCTTAGTTGGGCGTCAACAAAGAGTAAGGGTGAACTCAAAGTTATCTAGCTGGGAAACTGTGCTTAGTGGAGTGCCCCAGGGTACAGTTTTGGGGCCAGTGCTATTCCTCTTATATGTAAATGATCTTCCTTGTCTCCTATCATCATCGGTCTTGCTATATGCTGACGATGTCAAGATATGGAGAACGATACGATGTAAGAGTGATAGCTTAGAACTTCAAAATGACCTGAAGAAGTTATCTGAATGGTCTCAAACATGGCAGTTGCCGATAAATACTTCCAAGTGTGTGGTGATGCATATCGGTCATCAAGGCACAGATACATACACGATGAATAACACTGAGCTACCTGTCGTCCAGACATATAATGACTTAGGAGTTATCGTTAGTCAAGACTTAAAGACTACTGCACACTGCCGTGCAATAGCCGCCAAAAGTTTTAGAACGTTATGGTCAATACGTAGGGCTTTTAGTCATGTCGACACTAAGACGTTTTTGACTTTGTATACAGTGTTCGTTCGTCCTAAACTTGAGTACTGCATACAAGCGGCTAGCCCCTGCTTTAAAAAAGACAGAGAGCTTCTGGAAAAGGTTCAGAGAATGGCGACTAAGCTGGTTCCCGCAATAGCGAAGCTTCCGTATGAATCTCGACTGGCCAAGCTGAACCTTTTCCCGTTGTCATATCGCAGAACTAGAGGCGACTTGATTACAGTCTACAAATTGCTTAGTGATAAATTTGCACCTGATATGCCCTCATTTTTCTTGTCTTCCAAAACAGAGAATTTACGAGGACACTCCAAAAAGGTTCATAAGCCGAGAACAAATTACTTGTCAGCTGACTATCGACTTTCCCATCGAATCATCAACGAGTGGAATTCACTACCTCAGCACGTGGTTGAGGCTCCATCCGTCGACTGTTTTAAAAGAAAGTTGGATCAACTGAGAGACCACCATTGCCAGGACTAACATAGGCCATCGAGCCTCCTGTCCTTCCCAAACTGAAACTGAAACTGAAACTTCAAGTGCTCGCAACTTCCATCAGTGAACAATACCCCTGAAGCGTTGCCGACGAGTTAAGTGTGTGATGGTTCGTTCTGTTCTACTTTACGGCTGCGAAACGTGGCCATTAAGAGTAGAAGATACTCGTAAGCTACTAGTATTCGGTTACAGATGTCTCAGAAATATAGTCCGCATCTCCTGGGATACCACGACCCGCAATGCTGAATAGTGTTGGGGATGGCTGGAAGAAAGTTAGGGGCGGCCAAACCAAAACGTGGCATCAGTCCTTGAAGTCACTAACGTTTGGGCTGAACCATGTTGGTAGATACAGACTACTTGGTTGGGGTCCGCGTGACTATCGTAATCAATGGTTGGAAACTTTGGATGACGAGGCTCAGAATCGATCATAATGGCGTAGGTGTATGCACTTTGCCTTCCCTTAAACCCTGAGATTAAAATTAATTTATACCTTTCTCTCTACGAACTAACTATTTCATCCTGTGTCATATGCTTATACACAATATTTCTTTTATATATTACGGAAACAGTACTCACTCCAAAAGGACAAGGTCACTTTGGAGCGTATCCAACGTCGAGCCACGAAATCAGTTCGAGGACTCAAATCTAAACCTTACGAAGAACGCCTCCATTCACTAGACCTTTACCCATCAGAGTATAGGCGTCTTAGAGGTGATTTATTAATGGCTTATAGTATTCTTAACACTTCTGGACATCCTCTTAAACACCTACTTAAGCTTAGTTCGAATAATAACCTAAGGGGTAACACCCAGAAACTGGAAACACAACATAACAAGACGGAATGTAGACACAACTTCTACTCCTTAAGAGTTGTCAAAAGCTGGAATTCGCTGCCGGCCGAGTTAGTCCAAGCGACTTCTCAGGAGTCCTTCAAGAGGCAACTTGACCTATTCTTAAGGACCAAGGACAGCATCACACTATGATTTACCAATTTCTTTACCTCTTTTATTGTTAACATACCTAGGTTCCTGTCTAGAGGATTCGGTGATCCCTTGCTACTAGACACGGAAGCCTGTAAAGCGAAAGCTTCTTCTATTCCGTCCACAACCATTTGAACTACCATTGAAGTAACTGCTCAATTTGGTGTTCATCTTGTTGTGTTAATGAGGTGTGGTAACTTGGACCGATGCATATATTTGCATGGACCTACGTTGTAACTGGCTGGCTGACATAACTTGATTCCTTTTTCTAGATCGCTTCGAAATCTTACTTATAAAGTAGTGCTAAGAATGTGATTCTAGTGTCAAATACGAAAATTTATAGTCAAAATCATGTGAAAACGTCACTGTAAAACTTCATAAGTTTTGAAATTGATCCCTAGAATAAATTGGATTGGGACTACTGACTACCATTTCGTGTACCTAAGTAGCTGCATAAATGCTGATGGTGGCGTGAGTGATGAGATCAGTGCAAGTATACTGAAAGCCAGAGCGGCTTATGTTAATCTGGGCCACCTTTGGCGTCTTCGTGATGTCAGCCAAGTTGTAAAAGGTTGGATCTACAACGCGCCAGTGACAGCAGTTTTGCTCTGTTTGTAAAGCCTGGCTTCTCCGAGTTGAGGATGTTAGACGACTCTGTTTTTGACCATCGTTGTCTCCGAAGGATTGCTGACATCCAGTGGCAACACCATGTTAATAATGCACAGATCCCTAGATTAACTTGGAATGGTGCTACTGACTATCAGCTTCAAATACTCAACTAAGTGTGTTATTTGTGTCACGATTTAAAGTAAATACAATTTAATTAGTTCCTTCTCGATATTCTTTTGGTCTAGTCTTTTTCTGTTAGATTTATTAGACACTAATCATTAACTTGTACTTCTGTATTTAAGACCTACAGGCTTTTCGAACAAGCTCAAAGAGACTTGTTTATTATTGTTGCTTGACAAAAAGTCAAAATTATGCATGTTTATCTTGTTATCAACTCATTTTTGTTTTTCCAGGTTCCTACAATATCTGAGTGAACTTCGTATCTGTAACATATCTACAAGCTAGACACAAAAGCTATTGATTCCCTAACTTTTTCAAAAGAATGTCATTAGAACTATGGCTTTTATCTCTGATATCCATCATAACAACCTTAGTCATAGTAACATTCATAGTAAGTTGATATATTCCCAGTTCAACTTTATATTTCAGCTCCTGATTGTAATGTACCTTACCACAGATCCATATCCGAACCTATCCAGAAGCAGTACAGAAGAATGTTTTTATGATCCGGATAAATCTGAATATATTAAGTTAAAATTTGGGCTTACTGAAAGACCAGAAAAAGAATTATCGGTAATAATTCCAGCTTACAACGAAGTTGAACGCCGTAGGTATAATTAAAACCATTGTACATTTTTCAGTTCCCGCAATGTTGACTGAAACATTAGATTACCTTCATAAACGAAAAGTAATTTTTGAATTTTTAGTTTATTTTAGTAAAAGGATTCAAATAAAAAGTTCACATTTGAAATAATTATCGTGAATGATGGTAGTAAAGATCATACATTAGAAGTAAAACAATGTCAATATACAACTAACTTGTAGATTGCTCACAAATATTGCAAACTCGAGGGTTCAGATACACTTCGTGTAATATCTTTAGATCGGAATCGTGGAAAAGGTGCTGCAGTCAGAATAGTGAGTAGTAATTTTTGAATACAACTGAGATTTTTTGCTTCAATCTTCTAGCTTTGTTCCTACTTCCTTAAATTGGTTAACGTCCTCAACTTTCATTGAGTATGCAGCAGGTTTGAAACCGCTCCATCGATATTGGTTTAGACATCCGAATTGAATCAGTAATCAACTACATACTGCACGTAAAACTCAAATTGTATGTTTGAATTCAGCTTCACCTCCGATAATGGCATTTTGCTAGTATTTTTACTGATTTCACCATACTCAACCGATACTGAATGTAATTATAAACATGTACTTAACCCCATACAGAGTTTTTTTGCTTCTAATTGTCACACTGCAACAAAATGAAATGGGGATGAGACAAAAAGATACTAAAATACTATGATAAGTTACTTTGTTGATACAACAAAGCCAATATCAATACTGGTCAACGCCTTGTTTAGTCTTGATGAGCTAAAGCTTCAGTTATTTTACAGCAACTACTATGTGTATATACCGTTATTAATTTAATTGGACTTTTCCTTTTTAGGGAATGCTTTCTGCACGTGGTCGGATACTTCTGTTCGTAGATGCAGATGGTGCGACTCAGTTTTCCGATATTGAAAAACTGGAGGAAGCTTTAGCATCATCTGTTGCTAATAGATGGGTAATTCAGACAAGTTTAATATTGTGTTTATTTTCAATATTTTTTAATTACACTGAGTTTCGACAAAACTACTATAGAATAAAAATGAAAGGACTATCTAAGCAGTATCAGGTGAAACATAACATTACAATGTAATGTACTTAAATGCAAATACTTCAAGTTATACGGTAACCTGCTTCGGTTTGGTCTCCCGTGCAGTATCATAACCCACACACATAAATGAAGTGACTTGTGTGTCGTATATGTATTCGGTAATGATCATACGATTGCCGAGTTTCGAATCGCTCTCCTTTGGGAAAGACAATACTGACGGTTTGTTTTATGTAGCCGCTTTTCACAACAACCGTAGACAAAACTGTTTGTCTGAAAAACCACAATTAGTCATCTAGATTTGGCAAACAATCTTAAAAATAGAATTCCCTTGCATGATTTCAATGCTTCCAAAATGAATTTAGCTCAATTTTTGTGATTGTAAATCAATGAATCTCAAAGTATCCTAACGGGATCAATGGATTAAGAATAAAGTACATTTGTAAAACTTGTAAAATCATGTAGTTAGCTGTTTGAAATATATCGACTAATGAAGTAGATCTTCATTAACTGAGGCGATTAATGCATATTACTTAAGCCTAACAGGCGATGTTGTCCAATTTAGGAGTAAGTTGCAAGAAGGTTGGGGGGGGGACAAACTAAGATTCAGCATTGGTCTATGTAGACACTGACTGTTGGTCTGAGTCATGTTAATAGATGTAGACTACCTGATTATTGTCTGCGTGATTATTGTAACCAATTGTTAGAAACTTTGAGTGACGTGGCTCAGAACAGTTCGCAATGGTGGAGGTGCATCCATTCGTGGTGTGCAACACGATAGATAGATTATATGATTAGGTGTGAACATTAATTTGTAGATAACTTATTATGATCTGGCTTATCAACCACCGATGCATTTCCTACCGAATAACCCAAACAGTGATTATTATATCCTCAACAATGTTCACTTTTATTTTATTGCTTCATTGCATTAGAATGGTGGCATGGCGGTGATATGTGGTTCTAGAGCACATTTAGAAGAACAGGCACTCGCTAAACGTCATCCATTAAGAAATCTGCTCATGTATGGATTTAAGCTATTTGTTTGGCTTGTGTGTGTCCGTGGAGTTCGTGATACACAATGTGGATTTAAATTGTTTAGTCGACCTGCTGCTCGTTTGTTATTTCATAATTTGCATGTTGATCGCTGGGCTTTTGATGTAGACTTGTTATATTTAGCTCGGCATTTCGATATGAATATTGTTGAAATACCTGTGCATTGGCAGGAAATTCCAGGTAATATTTGTACTGTAATGTACAGTTTTGTTTCATTTACTGTATTTTCTCCAGTTCAGTTAATTCCGAAAGGAAAAGTATATGTTTTTCTACGTATTTCTATTATATATTTATTTAAACACATAAATATTGGTACAAGGAAGCACCAGATACATATGCGCCGCACAAATCTCATTTGATTTGTGTGAGGGCTGTGATACTGCCCAGGTGCCCAAACCTAAGCAGGTGGTTTTCTTAGGGGGCCACATCCGGAGCCTTCGGCCTGAAGGTCTGATCCACAAGGCAGTGGAGCATCGTAAGGAGATGCAATCCCATGGTAGCCAGTGACCAACAATAGGTTCATACGCCATTTGTTCCCTCACGATCCTGGAGCCCATGTGCACCAGGGTTCTCTAACTCTCCTAGATGCACTCCGTGTCCACCAATCTGTTAAGAGCGCCGGAAATTTCTTTTCGTCCTCTCAATTTCTTAAAAAACACCCCTGATAGAAGGCAGTGAGTAGGACTTCCCTGGCTGAGGTTATATACGCGTGGTCATATGAGAGCATTTCGAGACGGAGAGCGGACTCTCCACTCTTGGCCGTACCAGTGCATTTGAGGGCCTGTATTTCTATAACAACATTTTACGTAGTATACACTTACATCTATATTCCATACCATTTTGAGATGGTGAAGATTTTTATGGAGTTTTTTCTCTAAGCCGAATTGTTTGGTCGTGGAGATTTCATTGTTCTTCTGAACAACATCATCAGCACAAATTCCATAAAAATATTCCATACCACTTGAGATTCATTGTTCCACCTAGGCAATATAACTCAACGAACAAAATTTCGTGATGTTTCACAATTCTTTGGTTTTGACTTTCGATGTGTGGGCGAGAATGACAATGATTGATTGTCTACTCAGTCAGAGATGTAGATAGTCTGACAGGTGTGAGATGAGTTATATATCCCCTTATCCTTATTATTATTACTCACTCACTTATTATTGATTGTTGTTGGATTGTGTCGGGTTTTGGTGCGGAAATATATTTACGTTGTGGTCAGGCTAATCACGTGTTCTTGATCTGAGTTTTGTTGAAGTCCTGTAGAATAAACACTGGGATGTAATCTAGTCATAGATATTCGTCTCGTACGTGTAAACCCAATTGACATAACATTAGACGAAGTAAAGCTGAGCGTTATAACAACTTTCCTACAAGATAAACAATCTTCAACGTAAGATTTTGTAACATGGTATTTTTGGTCACATTAATTGCAACAATGTGAATATAAGCAGTGAACAATTGTATTGCCATACTCGTTCTCCTTGTAATTGGAACTAAAGGAGAGGATCACTGTATTACACCTCATATTCATGAAAGAACTTTTGAAGTAATTGATTGATTTTTAGAAATAGTCACAGCTTACTTATTGACTCATAATGTGACCGAGACTCGCACTATTTGCTTTCGTTATCGATTTCTTAACTAAGCTGTATTCTATTAGTGTGCATAAATCCGTCTGGTGATAATAATCAGGACCGTGTTTTACTTCGTGTTGACCAAACCCTATAGGCTAAAAACACGCAATGAGGAACTAGGTCCTTGGCCTCAAACATCATACTCAGATTATACCCAGTTTTGGGTATCCTTACGTGGAAGCTGACAAGAATTTGAGTAATTCTTGATTGTAATCTCTGAATACCCTACTTTAAATCAAACACACCAAGAGTTGTCTGTTGTCTCATTCTATATTTTATATTAATTCGACCATTATGAAAATTTTACTGATTTGATATCAATGTTGTGGTACTTATTAAACGAATACATAATAATTTAATAATTGAATTCATGAGTCAATATAAGCTATAAAAAACCTGGAATCACACTGAACGGCCGTTCATCTTAGAATGAGATTTCTCAACAATCCGCATCCACAACCCCTCCCCGGGGATTCGAACTCAAGACTTATCTGTCTCGCGCGCGAACATAGTGGTGCTGAGGAGTCCCATATTAGGATGAAACGGCCGTCCAATGCTTCCAGGTTTTCCACGGTGGTCCAACTTCAATTGACTCATGAATTCAATTATTAAGTTAGTACAATCTCCACAAGATCCCTCTGATTAGAATACATAGTAATATCAGAGAAAATTAAATATTACAACTGCACTTTTTGGGGGAAATTACTGAACAATTAGCCATTATTTCTCACTTAATATAAGGTAATTTACTTCTAAATTGTTGAAAACAGGAACACATGGTCTAATTCTACGTATGATTTCTGTCAATATTTAAATTTGTCTTTTCGAAACCTTAACTCAAACAGTAACTTAGAGTTTCTTTAAACAATGGTTATGAAAGTACTGATTCTGTATAAAGAAATTAATCTGCCGAACTATAAAAGCTGTCACTGTTGGTTTCTATTCACTTCAAGTTGAACAGTTAACAACTCTTTGGAACAGAGTCATGGTTAGAGACCTTGGATGACATGGCTCAAAATCGTCTGCAATGGCGCAGATGCACCCACCCTCTTTGTGTTCTTCTGAATTCTTCATTTCCTTTTTTTTCTGTTTTCAAATTTATTTCACTAGATTATAATCCTTGAATAACATCTTCAGAGCCTAATGTTTCCGATTACTGCTTATACTTTTACTACCTCTATCACTATGGGATTTGAATCGACAATTGTATCTATATGCTAATGTAGTATGGCAACTCGAACTAGTGCAGGCACGTACGAAGTTCTATGTTGTAGCTGACTGACTGACTCTTTGCAACTCGAGAAACAAAAGTTCTATTTTCATGACCAGTGTTACATATAATTAATTAGAATATTCATTTAAGTTTTTAAATGAATCATTTATGTGATTCATAAACTGTTTACATAGTGTTTGCCGTTCATGTTTTTTTTCTTCTTAATAACAGGTTCAAAACTGGTCCCAATTTTCTCATGGATTCAAATGGCAAAAGATTTGCTTATGATTCGTTTGCGATATTCATTAGGGGCATGGAAAATTGACCCAGTTTACACTTGAGTTTGTATATCATTGAAAGAATCTCTAGTCATTTTTTTTCATCATATATGTGCAGTTCAATGTATTACACATTCCATTATTCCTATTTTATCACCTTTTTAAGTTTTATTCTAACTCATTCATTCTTATTGTTAATTAAATTTTCTCAAAATAAAATGGCTATTGATAGAGTATTTCTTACAATAACTTAGAAAAATTTCACGTGAATTATGTCCAATGTTTATTATGCAATGATCTATTCATTAGAGTAAAGTTAACTTTGTAAAGTATCCATTTAGGAGAGTTGGAAAACCTTGATTCCAAACCAATGGTACACATGAACTCCAGGATCCTGATGGAACAAATGGCGTATGAACCTATTGTTGGTCACCAGTTACCATAAAACTGTATCTCCGGACGTTGCTTCACTACTTTGTGGATCAGATCTTTAGTTCGAAGTCTCGGGGTGTGGCCCCCTAAGAAAACCACTTGTTTCAGTTTGGGCACCCGAGCAGTATCCCAGTCGTCACACAAATCAAATGACTTATGTGGCGCATATCTATTTGGTGCCTCCTTATATCAATATTCGTGTTCAAATAAATAAATAACAATTTTTGCGCTGTAGATGATGCTTAAATATTTAGAGTAATAAATGACATATCCTAGTTTAAGTAAGATATCAAAAAGACAGGTTCAGGTCTAGTATGACCTGGTCTAATATATGTGATTTCAAAAGTCTATAATTACTGAAACAGACAGTATTGAAATATACATCAGTGTAAATAGATTTCGTTTATTTACAATGAAGAGGTCAATAAATAGAGTGAACTGTATTAGGTCATACTCGGGTGTGGTGTCTGATACACCTAACAGCCTTAAACTGCTTAGCCCCCAAATGCCCTGGTATCGGCCGAGAGTGGTGTGGGTTCCCCCTCCCTCTCGAAATGCTCTCACACGGCCACGCGTATACAGCCTCTGCCAGGGAAGTCCTGCTCACTGCCCTCACACAAATCGAATGATTTATGTGGCGCATATCTACTTGGTGCCTCCTTGTACCAATGTTTATGTGTTTACATAAATAAACTGTCTTAATAATAGTGTAACTATCTCTAATATTCTGCCATCTCGACTATGGCCGGACTACTGAATAAGTAGGAGAATGAAATAATGCAGAAAGTGAATACTTTTTTGGCTTTGCAACAATAATGACTGATGATCAGCCGGGTTCCGACCTACCTTTCGACAGATGATTAATGGCAAAACTCCATACTACCAAAACTTAACCAGCAGTTTTGAAAATCTGTAGTCTGTGGAGGATTCACTTAAAATCGATGTTTCTTGTACTCCGCTTTTAGCCACGAGCAATCACCCTCAAGGATTCTCCACGACGGAGTTGTTAGTACGCCCCGCCATAGTCAATAACACGACTTTCTTTCGAAATCTGTTTCTCTTTAACTAGCGTCCTAGCCAACATACAGCAGAGTCCAGATTTCGTATCATGTTATTTATCTCGACCGAGTTTTCCATTGTTTTTGTGTAACTTTCACTAAAGGAACAGAAACATTTTGTTCTCTAGTTGACGAATACAAGACAACTAGGGAACCCGCATTTAAGTCTATTAGTAAGATAATAGATGAGTGCTAGCAACTGCGTCCGAGTAGTAATCATGCTTGACGACACGAACCATTTGCCCAAATAACAGTGAGTTAGTATTCTAACTTGGGATGTAACGAATAGAAAACAGTTGCTTAAGTCCCAGTTCTCAACTACTCGAGGTAAAACAAGCAGTTTCTTGGATGGATAGTTGGATTATTTGCCCTACTGTTTCAAATAATTGAATTGGCTGAAACGAAAACACAACATGGAAATCTTACCTAGCTTGAACTAACTTCAGTGAGTCAAATAATTATATGTATGGGTTTGTTTTCTCTTAAGGATCTAAATAAGAGCTTGGTGGCGTAACCGCAAAATACACATTAAGAGAAAGCTTGCATTTTAATGGACTGTTAACGATGAGAAGTGTTCTAGAGAGTTGTTATTATTTAAATGCATAAATATTAGAACAAGGAAGCACATAATTTATGTGCTCACACTTCATCATCTGATCTGCATGCGGGGATAAATTATGTCCGTGCGCCTAAACCGAAGCAGGCGGTTTTTTCAAGAGGTCACTCTCTGAGCCTTTGACTTAGAGGTCAAACCTCACATGGCAATGGAGCAACCTTTGGAGATGCGGTCCCATGGTGAGCAGTGACCAATAATGGGGTTCATACGCCATTTATTCCCTCACGATCCTGAAGCCCATGTGCACCAGTGGTTTGGAATCAGGGTTTTCTAACTGCCCTAGATGGACTCTCCGTATCCACCAACCTGGTTAAATCACTGGATATTCATTCTTCGTCCTCAATTTCGTAAACAATAGTAGTGCTGCAAGAAGGACTTTCCTGACAGTGGGTTGTATGCATGTTAGAACATTTTGAGAGAGAGAGAGAGTAGACTATCTGCACTCTCGACTGTACCAGGGCGTTTAAGGGTGTTTGAATGGTGATTTCTGAGCTTTTTACATTATACCCAAATGTTTTCACTAGCTAGCATTAATAGTTTATCATGTTTTTTTTCATTACATTCAACTTTTTCTATCAAAAATAGTAACTGAAAAATCGGTCTTTCGCAATAATTAACTAATAAAATAAGGTTAGTCAGAGTGAGCTAAGAATAATCCACTTAGATTGACAATTCCTTATATGTTTAAGAGATCTAGTAAGTGAACTGATATAGAAAGACAAAATACATGAAGTAAAGTATTCATAGATACTGAATAATATCTTAACTAAACCACACAGTCAACGATGTTAACTATTTAGTCGAGTTAAATTATTTTCCCAGACTGATAGTTCGATCTTACTATTCACCTAATAGCTATTAAATTAGAAACCACCATATCCTCAAAAGTATCTTCAATAATAAAAGAACTACATTCACCAAACTATGTAGTGCTAATTTAGTAGTTAAAGCATTTGACTTCTAACTGTTTTCTTAAGGATACTAACCCCTTACCACGTTTAATTTGCTTCCACGAAATGAACAGAATCAATAGCTTCACTCAAAAAGTGTAGCTTAGAGACAAAAAAAGAACACATTACATTATATTTTCTCATCATTTAACATACGAATAAATAGTTTAAATGTACGCGTTATGATATGGCCATCATATACCGGCGTAATTTACTGTTAACAATAAATAACAGAAACAGGCCTGAAAGATAAAGCAAATAATAATAGGTAAGATTTATACAATCTAGTCGAATAAACTACTAATCACAGAATAGATTATTAACATATATTGGTTTCTAATCATCTTCTGGAACAAAAATTTCATTTTCCTCAAGAAACTCTGCTCCATTTCTACTTATCCATGCACCAGCAAAAATTGAGGATATTACAACACAAGTAATTTTGATCAATCCCAGAGGAGTTGTTAAAGGTCTACAGTGAAGAGCACCAGTTGATGAACATGAACCAGGTTCTCCGGAATAGCATTGCATTCCTCTTGTAGGCAAACTTTTCCGATATTGGGAACGCAGGACATTTTCAATCAACCGCTTACTTAACATCTATAAAATTATTATTTAGAAAACCATTTAAATTATATGCTTCTTTATCTATATAAACGTGAACTGATATCAAGCAAAAACTGAGAGTGTAACTTTACTGAACACTTTGTTTTATAACTGTCAAATTTAGTCTCCACGGTGAAAATGTGGGATATCTTTCTTCGATGATCAGTAACCAACTAATCACTGTCTAGTAAATTCTAAAGATTGTTAGAGAGACTCTTGCAAAGACGTTCAAGCATCCACAAAACAACACTAATCGATAGTCCTAAAGTTCAGTTAGTATGTGACAAAGCAGTTGCACTGGAGCGAATAGACACACTATATTGAAGTCTCAATTCCAAAAGTTCCGGTTCTACATTTACCCAAGTGTTCTTCGTTAACATTCTCTCCCTGTAATATTTGAACTGATACACATCAATACTTTTATCGATCGATCCTCGAGTATCACAAAACAAGTAGTGATTATTAAACGAAATTGCAAACAACCGTTTTGGTTAATAATATAGATGTAAAGGGGCCCCCAAATGCCCTGGTACGACCGTGAGTGGGGTGGGCCCACCCTCCCTTTCGAAATGCTCTCACATGGCCACGCGTATATAGCCTCTGCCAGGGAAGTCCTACTCATTGCCTTCTCGTGGCATTACTGTTATTTACGAAATTGGGAAGACGAAAAGCGAATATCCGGCGTTTTAACCGGATTCCAAACCAATGGTGCACATGGACTCCAGTATCCTGCGGGAACAAATGACGTATGAACCAATCGCTGGTCACCGGCTACCATGGGACTGCATCTCTACACGATGCTCAATTGCCTTGTGGGTCGGACCTTAAGGTCAAAGGCTCGGGGAGTGGCCCTCTAAGAAAACCACCTGCTTCGGTCTGGGCACTCGAGGAGTATCTCAGAGTTCACACAAACCAAGTGACTTATGTGGCGCATATCTATTTGGTGCCTCCTTGAACCAATATTAATGTTTAAATAAATAAATAAATAAACGGTAAGAAATTTGTACTACCAGCTTTTATTCATATAACAGTGCACATTTACATGTTTATTAATCTATAAGATTCGAACAACATCAGGTGAGATTACCTTAATAGCATTCTAATACTAAGAAAGGTTGACAAATGAGAATTCGAAAAGAACCCATCACAAATAATTTAATGAAATCATTAGTGGTATTTCAGTTTCATACAACCTTTTTGGTGAGACTATAATTTATGAACGACCTTTGAGCGACGCTGAAGTGACCCTGAGAGTGAACACCTACTGATTAGGACTAAATGAGAGTTATAAAGCAATTAGAATTTTCATTGACAGTTGATGGTTAGGGTTGAAAATTAGATTTAGGGTTTTCATCACGAATTGACATGAGCTATAATATCAAAACTCAATTTAGCCAAATGTATGGATGAATTTCGCGGCAAAATTCATGACTCCTTATCTTACATCTGAATGATTCGCCCATAAATTTTAACCTCGCCACTCTTTTTTATTTGTAAATATGACTAAACTAAGAACAATTAGTGTACTAGAGTAACATGAACTCATTATATTTCGCGGTATCAATCTTTAAAAACATTAGTACATATACTTTATATCATAACATCAAGTGTTCTCATGAATGAAGATTGATGAGAAGAGTAATAAGTATGAAAGACCGATGAGAGATGTTCAAATGTTAATTAATGTGAATATTCATAGGATATATATATATATATATCCCGATCGAAGCTGCTACCTTGACGTGGTGGTCGGGCTTGCCTATCGTGATGACCCAACCGAGCTATATTGGCTGGAACATATGTTCCTGAAGGTTCTACCATGCCAGGCAGGTCGATTGGTGAACGGTAAGACTAAAAGCAGCAACTCAAGGTCTGAGGGCGAAGTCGTACTGCTGACTGTAGAGGGGTGTGACAGCAGTAAGGTGTTTCCCTCGGACATCCAGCATGACAGCGATGCTGCCTTCCCACAAGGAGGGGTGGGGTTAGAAAACGTCGACCCTAAAAATGTCACACCTCACCTTATCTCACGGATTTCCGTCTCCGGCGGTAAGGCCCTTTGAAGAACGGAGCTAACACGTCAAAAACCTCCCACGAAAAGGCCGTGCGCGACCGGCCTCAAGCAGTTGTCCCTTGGGCTCTGCGGTCGCGCTCCCAGGTCGTCAAGACCAACACTAACCCAATTTCCTTTTCAGGTTCCTCAAGAAATACCCTTCCACGGTGTGGGCAGCCAGGAAGTGAAATCAGCCCTCATACCCGTAACAACACACGAGACCAAGTTGGTCACATTCAAATCCTTCCTACACCTCCTAATACCTCTCTTATCTCCCCGACTAACCCTCCCCACGTCTCTTTATCACCCCGCACCGCTAGGGCAAACGATTCGAGTACGTGGAACGCCATTCCTGGTCTCCTGAAACCACGCTCTAAACTACACGTAGGAGCTTTTAACGTACGAACACTTTGCCAAATAGGACAGCAGGCTTCCTTAGCTAGGACTTTAGAATCTCGCGCCATCGATGTGTGCTGCGTCTCCGGAACGCGCATACAGGATCCAAGTAGCGTCATTCACTTGACCTCACCATGCCAAAATAAAGAACCGACTCGATTTACGCTTCGTGTATCTGGAAGCCCTGATTCTGCTTCCCGTGGCCTCGCGGGCGTAGGTATAGCATTGAGTCCTAGGGCATAACTAGCTCTCTTAGAGTGGATCCCAGTAGACAGCCGTTTGAGCGCTGTCCGACTGAACGGAACAGTAAGAATCCGGAAAGATAGGGACACTCGTCGTTACCTCTTCGTCGTTTCTGCCTATTCTCCCACTGACTGCAGCTCAGATGATGTAAAAGATGAGTTTTACAGAAAGCTTTCCGACCTTCTCCGAAAAGCTAGGCGCTCGGATGTAGTAATAATGGCTGGTGACTTTAATGTTCAAGTGGGTAAACTAAGCGATAGGGAAAGACACCTAGGTGGATCTTATGGTGTCGTGGCTCAAAGAACAGATAATGGCGACCGTCTGTTGCAGCTATGCTCAGATAACCGCCTGTTCCTTGCAAATACTAACTTTAAGCATAAGGAAAAACATCTTTTAACATGGCGACCCCCTAATTCGTCCCAACGTTGGACCCAAATAGATCACATCGCTATCAGCCATCGATGGAGGGGCTCGATAGCAGACTGTCGCTCATTCTGGAGCACATGCCTCGATTCAGATCATGCTCTAGTGCGAGCGCGTATTTGCTTGCGTCTTACTGGACGTAGGAAAGACGCTGCAAGGAAACCTCTTAGGGCCCTACTTAATGATAGTCAAGCTAAGAGTATATTTCAGGAACAACTAGGAAAACAGTTAGGCAGCCATGTATGTGATGCCCACCCCGATGCAGCATGGAATGATATCCGAAAAGCTGTGGAAACAGCAGTGATATTTGCTAGTAAGGTAAACCAGAAGGTTAGGGAGCAACATTGGATCTCAGCAGCATCTATCTCACTGATAGATGCTCGGAAACTCATTCCACCTGGCTCTGGACATAATGAAGAGCGGAGTCAGCTTAAGCGCAAGCTGACAAGAAGCCTACGCAATGATCGCGAACAGTGGTGAGTAGCGAAAGCAAGAGAGATGGAAAAGGCAGCGGCAATAGGTAATAGCAGACAATTGTTCAGACTCGTTAAGGAAACCGGAATTAGGAACCCGACCGTTAGCGAAACAATCTCAGAGAAAGATGGACATATTATTCATTCTCAATCCGGGAGATTGGATCGATGGGCAGAACACTTTAGGGATCAGTTCAACTGGCCTTCAGCCACACTTCGGTTTCCCACGATCTCTAGTCAACCTGAATGGCAAGTTAATGTAGGTCCTCCGTCTCTTTACGCAGTTGAAAAAGCCATAGGAAATCTGAGACGAGGGAGAGCAGCAGGCCCTGACAGGTTTACTCCTGAGATTTTTAAGGATGGTGGTCCAGTATTAGCAATGAGATTAACCGAGGTCTTAGGTAGAATTTGGGAACTGGACGTAATCCCATCTGACTGGTCTCAATCACTGATTGTGCCAGTCTATAAGAAAGGACAAAAGTCCTCTTGTGACAATCACAGAGGAATCAGTTTGACTAATATAGTGTCTAAAATATTAGCTTCAATAATACTTCGACGCCTAATCAAAGCTCGTGAAGAGCAGATTAGAGAAAACCAGGCTGGTTTTCGACTTGGATGTAGTTGTATAGACCAGATATACACACTACGTCAGGTCCTAGAAAACAGACACACATTCAGACGTCCCACAATGGTAGCATTTCTCGACCTTAGGGCGGCATTCGACTCTGTTGATCGTGAGGTTCTATGGCAGTGTTTGTCACTGAAAGGAGTACCAAAGAAGTACATTAACCTTATAAAGGCTCTCTACTCGAACACAACTGGTCGAGTGAGAGCTTATGGCGAACTGTAATCAGAATTGATTACCTCAAGTGGTGTTCGTCAGGGTTGTCCACTCTCCCCATTCTTGTTCAACTTTGTCATTGACGTACTTTTAGAGATAACACTTTCCTCATCTAGATTTCCAGGGGTTGAACTTCTACCGGGAGGTTCACTTGTTGACTTAGAATATGCAGATGACATAGTTTTATTTGGTGAAGACGCTGACAAAATGCAGAGTCTTCTGACCACTCTAAGCAACAATGCAAGCATGTTCGGGATGAGATTCTCTCCCTCGAAATGCAAAATGTTGCTTCAGGATTGGGTTACATCGACACCCGAACTAGTGATAGGGAGTGAAGTAGTTGAGTGTGTCGACCGCTTCACTTATCTTGGAAGTCTCATCAGCCCTTGTGGTCTGGTGTGTGACGAAATCTCAGCACGGATACAGAAAGCTCGACTAGCTTTTGCCAACTTGCGTCATTTGTGGCGTAGGCGAGATATCCGTCTACCAACCAAAGGACGTGTTTACTGCGCAGCAGTTCGTTCCGTCCTACTTTATGGCAGTGAAACATGGCCGGTAAGAGTAGAGGATATCCGTAGGCTACTAGTATTTGATCATAGGTGTCTTCGAAACATTGCTCGTATATTATGGGACCATCGAGTGAGTAACACAGTTGTTAGGAAACGGGTACTAGGTAAAGATGGCAAATAAATTGATGAAGTAGTGAAACTTCATCAGTTGAGATGGCTGGGACACGTGTTACGTATGTGTTGGGATATTCAGGGAAATACCCCAAAAATTATCCTGTTAAGCCTAATGCTATCCTTGGACATGGAATGGTATCATCTTATTGGTTAGTATTTATTTGACGTGTTATTCTCCTGTTGGCCATTATTGTACAATGTTATCTTCTATTTTATGGTACGTTGTGGACTGCTTGACTGGTATATAAACAAAGTATGTTTGAAATATGATGATTCATATATCCGAGGCTGAAACTTGTGTTCTGGACTCAACTGGCTGGGTTAGACAGGGAAGCGAGACCAATCAGAACCCTAGGTCGTTCTGCGTGTTTGTGCGTCTTTGGTCCGATCAATAATTCGCTATCCCTTCAGCAGCATTATTTTCACGTTATAACAATTGGTGACGGGCTGAAGAAAAAAATACAATCCAAAGTCATTCTGTAATTGGACGAAACCCAGTCTAATTATTCAACCAATCAGCATCCAGATTGTCGTCAGTGTCCTTCAACGACATTAGTCATTAGTCATACAGTAATTTTCATCACAGGTGCTGATTCGAAAAAAATGACTCTTCCTTCCGATCGATTACAGCTGCTCTATGAACGACATTGGAGTTATTGGTCAAATTCCGTACGCAGCTGCTAAATCACTCATGCTATGAAGACGCGACGGAAGTGGATGGATTGATATCTGAAATACACATTGAGCTGGAAAATGACAGCAGCCTCCATGAATCCTCGATGAACTGTACCTCAAACGAAACAGTCATCCATCATGCGCCCAGTGGTCCAGTACTTTCTATTCCAGAAACATGCCCGGTAATGGAGGCAAACTCCATCAACCGCGAAACAGCATGTGCAGACAGTAACATATCCAGCTCACGAGATCTCATTGTTTTGCCAGAAAATGTGTTCCACGCATCAAATAATAACCAAGAACCTGGTACAGTTTTGTTGGACGCCGATTATCATAATGATCCACTACTTACTAAAGATTTAAACCCTAATGACCTCAGATCTACTGTCGCTGATCCTTACCATCTAGTCAGTCCTAGTGGACTCTCTACTCAACGCGGGAAATATGCTTCAAATAGAGTCACACTAACTGTTCCTTGGGTTTATGAAGACCCAACATTATTTCGCGGGGGAGGATAGACGCGGAAAAAAAATTAAAATCCGGACATCAACTCCGGATCTACAAAAAAAAGGGAGGTGTTGGGATATTCAGGGAAATACCCCAAAAATTATCCTGTTAAGCCTAATGCTATCCTTGGACATGGAATGGTATCA